GCAGTAAGGCCTGTTGGCAACAGTACGGTTGAGAGACAGATCGTTGACGTTGGAAGATCAGAGATCCCCTGTGAGTATAACCCGTGATCTACTAACCCTAACTGTGACCAGTTTGCAGTGCGTAACAATACGCCGGTATACAAATTGGTATCACCTTATTTCTCTTACAAATCTCGTCAAATTTCCCGGTTAAATGACTTCCGTGGCCGTCGAGTATCAAAAGCCGGTACCCCCCCTTCGTATGCGAAGAAGTAGTCGGAATAAAGAGCTTTTCGAGCCACCGAAGTCCAATTTCATCGGAGGTCCATCCATTAGGACTAATATCGAAACGCCAACCCTCCGGGAGGCCGTCGAACCAGGATTTAATTAAGACTTTACCTTTAAAAATCACATACGGAGGAAGCTCCCACCTAGAAGCATTCGTACACTCAATCACCGTCACCCACTCACAATTTCTAGGTTGTAAAAGTGATCGCCGACCGTAATATTCACTTCTCGTAATAACCTTCGCGGTTGCCGTTAACCCCATCGCGAAACCGGTCTCGTCGAAGTTATAAATATCATCGGTATCGATTCTAAATTAAAGGATCGTTTTTTAAACTAGATTAAACCACTCCCTAATGATTTTCGGGTCTTCGTATTTCGCACGCTCGTAATTATATCGTCTGGAGAACCGGGAGGAAAGAAGAGGATGCCGTTTGACAAAATTATATACCCATTTTTCGCCGACCGAAAGAACCGGGGTAGTTCCGCGCTTTTCGAGGAGAAGGTTCGCCATTTCTCGTACGGTAGAGGGCCGAGGAGCTGATCCGCGAGAATCTATAGAGAGTATCCATTTTTGAAGAGATTCCTCTTCGATTTCTGTTAATTTATGCGAATTTGCGCGAGAAATCGCGCGGTCTTGAACCCCGCTTAGGCGGCGGCGGAGGGTTGTACGTGGGATATCGAAAGTGCGGGCAGCGAGAGAGAGAGAGCTGATTTCTCCATTTTTAAAAGCCTGGATAGCTAATAAGATCCTACCCTCCTGCTCTATTGAATTTATAGAGGATTGAGAGCGTATTGGTGGCATGGTAGGTGGTTGAATTAACTAAGTGTTAATTGATGGACGCGTTTTGGGGTAGGGTGGCCACTCGCTTACAATGGCCACTCGCTTACCGATTACGTTAAAGCTAAAGGGTAAAGTGTATAATTCCCTATTAGCTAGAGGATTCGTACGAAGCCTTAAGTTTAGAAATAAAGACTAGCGATTAAAGCTAAAGGGCAAAGTCTATAGTTCGCTTCTAGCTAGAGGATTCGTACGAAGTCTGCCTATCTAGTTAAGCACCTATTATTAGACTATATTAATCTATAGAGATGTGGTAAATATAGACTAGATATGTGGTGGGAATAGAGTGCGGGCCCCGCGTACGGTCGTACCCTATTAAAAATAATTCTCGATTTTGAATCGGCCACCACACCTTTATACCTTGATCGATTACTCTGAAATTTGAGGACCATGATCTCCGAGGCGTGACTTAGAACTCTACCAATTTTCAGCTCAATCCTCGTCCGGAAAGGAATTCCAGTCTACTCATGGCCCCGCTTTTTTCTCCCATAGTTAAGCTAGAGTCCTAATTCCAGTCTACTAGACTGCGCCCACCCCCATGGGATAGGGCCGGATGGCTCCTATTGCAGTCCAAGAAACTTCCAAAATCGTGGCTCTTTGAAGCAGAGCCGAAAAGTAAGAAATACATATATGTATATGACCTCCAGCTCTTCACAGCACCCAGTTCTCTTGTATTTACCAACTCTCTTCAGCATGTCATACAAGCGCGCTGCTGCAAAGAATCGCCGTCAATTAGACACTCGGAAAGTAAAGAACCAACAAAGATGCAGACGCAAGGACGGAATACTTAAGAAAGTTTACGGATGTAGTGTCTACTGTGATGCAGATGCCTACGTTGTTCTTCGGACAAGAAATAATGGTAAAATCTTTGCTTTTAGTTCCACTCACGGATGGTCTCCCTCGCTGCGCGAATTGGTAGGTCCCTATCTTCTCTAGAAGAACCCAAAACCTGGGGATTGTCGATCACTGGCGAAGGAAGAAAGGACTATTATTATCCAAAGCCTGAAGTAAAAACTTCAGAGGACCTTACTGATGCAAACAAAAGCTCTACATCGGATCATCCAAAGGAGAGTTCGGCAGACAAGGCCCAGAGTGAGGCTGATGATAGAGGGTGCCTGGTGTTGTGATTTCTGTATGGTACTTTCAGTGCCAAAGTTCTTCGCCGGAGCTGTTGGATTGAATAAGGGTCTCTGATTGGCTAGTTCTATGTCTATTTGTCTATTCCATGAGGGGTATAGCGTACAAACAGAGAACGCTCTCCACCCCGAATAAAAGGTGGTCCCGAAGATAGATTCAATCAATCATATTTAGCTCTTCACAGCATGTTTTGAGGGCTTCCACTGTCTGGCTTTGTCGTGCAATTGTTCCTTTCAGCTCGGTTACAAGCCACGCAATTTCATCAAGTTTGCTGGGGTTTTCATAGCTGTTGCCTATGAATTCGATGCTTGGAACTCACTGAAGCAAGCGATGAAGGATAGGACATAGGACGAACGCATTGAATACGTACAACGCTTTCGGCCACGGGACTCGGGCGGGATGCACAAATGAATGGGCTCCCGGGACGGCCCGGAATATCAGGTATCCTGCAGTGGGGATACAGTCAGGAGAGTCAGGGCATAGTGGGCCAGGCGACAAAGTCGTTACAGGAAACAAAGATTACACAGAGTATAGTACAGGAAACAAAGATTACACAGAGTATACGAGCTTGGAATGTCTTGCGAAACGGGCTAATATTTGGCTTCGTGGGCGGACTTCTAGTCCTCAATGGCCGGTTCATCCACGTCCGCTCATGATG